TATTATGTGAATCATATATTTAACCACAATGTGGTCTATTTTTCCAAAATCATCATGATCTAGAATGTTGTAATCTTGTTTTGTGGTTACCAATTAATGAAACTGATACCCATGTAACATGATATGTATCTACTATGTAACCAATAAGCCTCACTGTATTAAATTTTACCACTTACCCGTTACATGGTCAGCAGTGTGCAAGTGGTAATAATAATAACACCACCAACTCTCTGGGTTTTAATCTTTCTTTTGGAAGTCAATAAAATCATTGTGTGTATTACATTTTACTATTTTATCACTAAAAATACCATGTATTTTAGTGAAAAATATTAAAACATGTTACAGCTTTCTTCATTTCTTTGACTTCACTCAGAATGAGGTAGGTGTGTGTGTGTTTTTCCAATAGAAGAGATGTGACAATAGCTTCAAATGATTTTTAAATGTACGATCTAATAAAGAATAATATAAAAATAGCATATTGCTATGTACAGAATATTTTCTAATACTGAGATTAGACAACTTTTTATAAGCTACCACAGGGCCACACATATATGTAAACATACAATAAACTATCATGTATAAAATCCATTCAGTAATTCATCTTTTCAATCTCTATAGTGTTAAAATAGCCTTGACTTATTTTTATTTATATTAAATTGGCTATTCCTTCTACACAGAAATTATATTGATCAGTATTATTGGCATTGATAGTGTTTTGCAATATCTATTTATGTGGTTTTTGTTTTTTTTAAGCAATGAACCTGTATTTAAATATAGAATACTATTCTTTATAGTTATCTCAGAGCAGTTTTGTTTTATTATGTTTGAAGCAGGTATGTAGAAAAATATCCATAAGCATGATATTAAATATTAGAATGTCTTAACACAGCTGAAATTCTTATTAATTTCATTATCAAGGGATAAGCCTAGTCAATACCAATTAGCAGCTTTAAAAGGTTTTACATATTAGAATACAGTATTCTATTTATCCTAGAATGTCTGGGGAATGTCTAAGTATATTAAAAGATGTTTCAGAGTTTCTTAGTGATCTCGCTGCTACTATTATGCCTGTTAGCAATTTTTCAACATTCTGATAAATATTTTCCATAAATCAAAGCCAAAACAGCACGGAAAAGCAGATGGCAGGAGACCATATTAAAGAATGTAACAATTACTTTTAATAATGGAGAGAATATTGGATCATCATTTTCAGCATGGGCTATGTAGTGAATAGTTGTTACTTATTAAGCCTCGTGTCTGTTAAGTATCCCTTCAGATGATAAACTCACACTATATTTTTTAGTGCAGTCTATATACAAAGGCAAATTAGTATAGTAAAGCATTGAATAATTACAGTGTTTCATGTAATACATGCAAAGAAAATATTGGTGCATTTTAAAAGTACTTGTGCAAAGATTCATGTATGTATTAAAATACATCAATATTCTTCATTTTCTCAGAAAATAAGACACATTACTTTGTTATTAAAAATAAAAAATAGCAATAATTACAACTTCTACAGTCTTATTGCATTAACGTTTTCTTGCTCAAACCAATATTAGATTAAAATTATAGGAATGTTACTTCAAAAATTCATATATATATATTCCTATTTATGTTTAACATATATATACATATATATATTCCTGTTAAAGTCAAAGATTTTTAACTATATTGTTATTGTTAAGATTAAATAGCTGAAGTTCATTTTAGCTTGGCATGTCATAAGCAACTGCTATGCTGCTTGAATTTAGCTTGTATTTAAATTTTAGTAATCATAAAGAATAATATAATATGTAACTTACTGATTATACAATTATTTCAGTAAAACAATAGTCTCTCCATTCTTTTGTACGTTTTATTTGTTATATATAAGAACAAGCATTAAGTAACACACAAAATTTGTTTCGATGGAAAAATACAGAATTTTGGCAATAAAAATGACAGTGCAGGAATGGTAGAGGTAGTTTTGCAAACTTAAAAATCTTTGTGTTCTTTAAGCCTATTATATAATGCAGGAAGAAGACATTTCAAAGAGGATTTCATCAGTAGAAAACAATAAAAATCATCTAATTATATAGAAATATACATATAAATCTCTTACAAGGACATAAAAATTTCCCTTTTATATATAAGGCAGGAGATAGTATTATTTTATCCTCAAATTGATGGAATCCTGGGGGAGATTTTAAAAAATCAAAATAACTGTTTTCTGATAATTTAGGATATACTCAAATTCTCTATAACACACGCAGAGGAAAATGTGGCACAGAAACTTTGAGGGTATTTTTCTCAATGTTTGAATAGCTTCTTTGTTTTCAAATTAAAAATCATACAAATGATAAAATACTTGTATATCAATGAATAATGATGATAAGAGGGTCATGATAAATTAGGTCATAAGCACTCTAAATGTGTTTAGTATTTATTAAATACATGTAATTGAAATATCTATACACTTAATGTACACTAACACAAATCGACATCTTATATTTGTCAGTATGCAGGGCACTGGAGGGGCAAATGATGGTATTCCACATAGCACATATAGCTGTGCCATTATCAATACTGAAGCAAAATTCGGTGCTTCGGGTGTTTTCAAGCTACTCAGATGGTTGACCTAGTGCTGATAGCCTAGAAAAATGATTAACTGATTCTAGTTTCAACCCACATCTTACATATCATAAGCCCAGTAAATATCACCCTAGAGACATTATAGAAAATCCTGATGAGTTCATTCAGGTTCTTCTCTTCTATTTTGAGATATATAATACATTATTGTTAATTATAGTCACTCTGCTATAGAAAGTATGTTAATAGAAAAGAAAAAACAGTGGATCATTATCATTATTTAAACCCCACAGTGTCAGGTCAATAAAAAGTATTTTCATGATAACTTAAAGTATAAGAAAATTCTAATGCCACCCAGTCTAACAAAACCAAATAAAAATACATCCTTTGGAAATTTGTGAAATCTAAATTCTCCTGACACTACAGAAAATTAGACAAAATCAAGACTTTTTCTGTACTTATTTTTTAAGTAAGAACTATGAATTATTTTGTGTATAGTCATGTGAGTGAAAAACAATAAAAAAAGGATGAGGAAGGCTATTTTTCAAAGTGCCTATCTCATCTGTCTATTACTCATAGCTTTTTTTTTAACCTGTATGAGGAGATGGTCATTGACATGACAATAAACTGAGGAAATATGATCTGTACATATGTTCTCCAATTGAAATAGGAAAAGTTTGGCAAGAAAAGACACTAAAAATATATATATATAAAGAGCTACATCTATTCATAGGAGGTCTTCATTATATTCAGATAACTGTGAGTTAGAAAAGGCTGATTAATGCAAATCCACAAAATGGTAATCAACATTTTATCACGGAGAAAAAGATTAGATGGGACTTTATCTTGAAAAAGCACCTAAGATAATAACTTTATTTAATTTTATTATTTTAATAAAATAATTTTTAGAATAATTACAATTATGCATTAATACTTTGAACAAGACTTCATTAATTGTATTATAGTCCCATGGTAATTGATGTTTTTGTAACAAAATTATGATATACTATTTTATTCTCTTACTGTTATGTCTCATTTCTGCAAAAGTATTCCATATATTTATCAGTTTTCCTAAGGGTCTCTCTTGATTGTTACTCAGATAATTTGCTTTTGAATTTATGTTATTTTTACTTTAAAATGTATTTGCATGATTTCAAAGTGTTACACAACATTTAGTAAGCAGAGAGAACTAACTCGTAAATATATATCACACAGTAGGCATGATTTGTTGATTGAGGAGTGAATGTTTGAAAGTGGACTCCTTTACCAGTGAAAAACATCTTAGTAAATAATTTACATGTGGGTGGAGGGTAGAGCTGGGGTAAAAATGTAATAACCTAGTAATTGATGTGCTTTTACTTTTCCATCCAGTTTCAACATGATTAGAATCAGATAAATTGCATTCAGATAAATAAGGCTCCCTCTTTTCTCATTATATATGACATTAAATGCACACCCATATTTTGATACATAAATAGTTAATTTGTTATATATGAAAGTTTCACACTTGATGCAGGAATTTTTTACCTGGGATCCAAGGCAACATTCAGGAGGTGCCTACAGCCTTTAGATTGCAAAACTATTAGATGCAAACTATTGCCCACAAATACACTTCTACATTTTTTTTAGGGAGACAGTTTTCACTAGATTCTCAAGGGACCCATGCCATGACAAGTTAAAACTGCTATCCAATTGATTTGTAACATATTTCTGTTGACTGAAACACAGAAGCACTCTGTCTTTTAAAATCCATTACCCATTTTACAAGTCCCTGACATTTTATAAACTGGAAAAAGCAGTGAATATAGTCCCTTTTCCAAATTTTTTGTGTCCAGGTTCAACTATCCTGTGCCAGGTCTCTATGTCAGCCTTGAACAGAATTTAAAATCATGCTAAAGTAATGGCATCAACAGTGAAAATCTTCTTGGCATACAGAGAAAGAAGAATAACAGATAAAATGGGAATAGAAAGTAACAATCTAGAAGAGTTTGTTTTCTAGGGACCCCAAAACATATTCTTTCCCATAATTTGTAAAGTTGAGTCAAATTATCAACTTAGGTAATACTATGGAATTTTACCATATTTTTAAAGTCTATAAATTTCCTTGACAATTATTAAGTGTATTTTTTTTCAGTTAGAACATTTCATATGAACACATCTATTTACAATGACCGTTTTAGAAGTTCTCTTTCTATGTCAAACTAATAATTTTAATTCTCCAAAATCTGCACAAACCATGTAATTTAAATATGAGATAATCATTCTACTATAGAATTTAGTATTTCTCCACTTCTATCAGCATTCAAATCTCAAATTTTGTGACAACAAATTTTCTATGTGAGAAAAATTTAAGATCTTTCCAAAAATTCATCTCAAAGTTTAATATTTTTGAGAGGTTACATCGCAGTCAAGTTAGTAACACATTTTAATTTTTAAAAATCTAGTAAAATTTTTTTCATATCTACATTTCATCCTAATTTTCAAAGATCTCCAAAACCTGTTGCCAATTTCATTTTCCCCAACTCCTCAACAAGCATCATGTGTTAGATGACCGAATCTTTCTCATGAATGTCTCATAAAGATAACTCCCTACCTTATCATCATTTTCATCATTTGGTTGATATTATTCCTCTATATTTCTTCCCTCTCACTCAATTCTGCTGTTTCCCTAGACTTTGTCATTCATTTTCATTTTCTCTGCACTTCTCTACTTTATGGCTTATGCTTACACTGTAATTCCATATTTTCTACCTTTTTGTAGAAAACAATGACTTCATGTAGTCCTGTTAAGCATACCCTTGCCAAAATGTAAAATCATATCTTTCTCATCTGTTCAATATTTTCAAAGCCCCGCTGCAGTTCTCAGTATCCCTTCATAAGTACTGATTGATTAAAAGATCATTTATTGAAGTCCAGAACATAGCAACATGCTTGGTAATCCAATTCCCAAACCCAAACAAGCTCAAAAATTTCGAGTATTATAGATATAAGTATTTGGGATAAATGGCAACTAAGCAACCTGAGGTTATAGGGTACTCTAAATACTCAAGAGAATAGAACTTTATCCTCCACTCAGAGCTGAACAAGATACAGTTTCTGTTTAATTATTTTTGCCAGTTGGCAATCCAATTTTCAACATTTTATCAATTTGGAACAAAACTGTATTAACAATTAATCTGTATCCAATATTTGATATGATGATAAATATTAAATACCTGACAAATTTTCCTAGTAGGACATTTTTATATTTTATTTACTAAAAATAAATAAATATTTACCTGACAGAATGTGATTTCTGATACTGATTATATAATCAGAAGAATGGAAAACTAGAAGAATAAATATTGCCCACACTGCATACTTATGTGTGGGTATAGTTTGTGTGAAATGATAAAATGTAGGCCATGTTCTTCAAGAAATTGTTCTTAGTATTCTGAATAGAATATAGAGAGATAAATATAAAAGAATGCTTTTAGAATTAGTGCAACTAATCTGACTACAGAAATTAGAATCTAATTTTAGTAATCAGTGTTTTTATAAATTTTCTGTTATATTGTAAAAAAAATCCTATGTTTGTGATAAGTTCACATTTCAATTACAAGTGAGAGATAATCTATTTTCTAATTATTTTCTCTGTAAGACTTGAACTTTGGGTATGTCCACCAGACAATGGAAAAAGACAATAACCATCATATCTGTTGACCTTGATTTTTTAAAAACTCATATGGTAGAAGGTGAACGGCAGAATACAGATGTGAATGACTAAGGGAAGTATTGTATATCTCAGTCAGTTTACTTTTACAGGCCATTCTAGTAGTGCATTATCATGTTGCTTCATCAGAAACATCGGGACAGAGATATTTCGTATGCTGTACATCGTTCCAGAAAAACAAAATGTAAGTAGACATGGACTCTGTAGAAAAAGAGGAAAATATCAAATATAGTCCTCAATAATTCAATGCCATTTTTTTCTTCCTGTGCATTCTTCTGTTGTTTCTAATGACGTTTTTGTAAACAACATATTCTTGTAAGGAAAACTAAGTCAAAGCGATACATGAAACACCGAACATAGTTGAATAGTACCAGCATAGCATTGCTTCCCAGTTGATGAATTGGGCCTGTTTATATCTTATAACTCCTCACCATCCTCTGAGCTGAAGCTACTTCTTCTACTGCTGGATTTAGAAACTGCAGGGGAAGCAGCAGATAGCAGTGGATCTGTTCCAAATGGGGATACTGTGTCATCCAGCAGCATGCCATCCAATCTTTGCTCCTCTTTCAAAGCAGCAGTAAATGATAAATCTGTGAAGTGTGACAAAGGATCAGAGAAGGCAATAGCTTGATCACAGAGCTTGGGGCTTGGCCCCTGAGATGGAGTCAGTTGCCAGCAATAGTCTACTGAATTCTGCTCAGGAGTCTGCTGTTTGGTGAGGTGAGCACCTAAATCAACTGTGCCAAGGGAAGCCAGGGTTGGCAGACCATGGGCATGAGCCTGTATTTCTAGTTCCTGCAATTTCAAACAAGAATCATTAAATAATGCCTTTAAAAGTGGACATAATGAGAAAATAAACCAGAAGTAGAACCAAACTATTAACAGCATTCGAAGTTCAGAGTAGTAAAAATTATAAGTATTCTTTGCAAATAATGGAATCTGGTTCATTTCTGATCCCTGAAAAGTAACGCAGAGAAAATTACCCAGAGATTTAAAAATTCTCCTCCTATTGTTCTGTAAAGGGACTCATGACACATTAAGGTCCCAGAATGGCTCAAACTACAATACAGCCATTCTGAAATAGTGGAAAATCTTCCATTTATTTTTCCTAATTTCTCACCATAATTCTGGACCATTTCATGAAACAGAGCAAAAACTTTACCTGGCTATGAGCATGCTCACATTGAAAAAGAGAAAAATAAAAGCCCATACTTTGATATTTTGTGTTACTTGCACAGATGAGAAGTGACTTAATATAAACTGGTACAATATGGCTTCAGCGATGAAATCCATAGCATTATTATTAAACAGATGAAAGCAAGAAGAGAGAATGGAGAATTTAGTGTCCAATATTATCTAGAGAAACAAATACTCTACTTAACACTGTTTTTTTCTGTGGGGGCAGTATCATAGGTATTTATGAAATGAGCTCTATTTTCTGCACTTTGTAACTAGTTCTTTTCATTCCTTATATGCATATTTAAGTCATCCTGATCCTGAATTTCTAATCAAAACCTAATTGAAACAACCCAATTAGTGAACTTTTAAAAGGTAATAAATTTATCTTTCAGTAGTAAAAAATAAATGTTAGTAAGGACACAAATTGTACCAATGAATAAAACTAATGTCAAGTAAGTCATATGTTAGCTACCCAGTCCATGGCAACATTCTTATAAAAACCTGAATCCGGAGTAGAAGTCGCCTGTTAGCCTGCTCTAATGTCTTCTGCCTGTGTTCTAACTCTCGGGCTCGCTGTTGTTCTTTTTGTAGCCACTTGATGTACTCCACGGATGCTTTCAGAATGGTTCCTTTGTTCCAGCGCGTATCACTGTAGAACGGAGAGATAACCTTTTCACAATTGTGCATGTCAGCAGAATTCATAAGAACTTACAAAATCTTTTACATTAATATGAAATAATGATTTACATGACTATTATTCACTCTTAGATATTATTGCTTCTGAATAGAAATTTTAATAGAATAGTTAAGAAGCCCTTATATAGTAAAATTAATCCCAGAATGAAAATAAGTGTCAAAAGAAAGTAATAAAGTGACTTTTTGTGAGAGAGCTAAATGCACTATCATGATTCTACCATTACAGTTTTTATATTTTTAGTGAAAATTGCTTTTATTATTAACTCCAAGATTAAAATCTATGTGCCGTATTTCTGCATTAATGAACTAGGAAATGTACATTACTGATGACTTAAGCCTAAATTTTTAAAGATTATTTCAAATGTACCAATCCTTTAACCTACTTCCTAATAAAGTTGCTTTTGTTTCTAAGAAAAAAAATAAATTCTCTCCTGAATGGTGATCCTGAGTGATTGTAAAACATATCAGAGTTTGGTAGTATCACTTTATGCAACAAAGTAAATTTTCTAAAACCATTTGAACAATTCTTCTACACAAATAGCATCAATACTTTTTAAGAAGCTTGATATGGATACCTATTTTTAAATAAGTTTAAAATGGGTACCTACAATTAAAACATAACTGGGTAATCTTTTAGGCTATAGCATAGAAAAATATTTTACTACACTGCTTAAGACAGAAGAAATTATAGAGATAGAACTATGGAGCAGGCTATTGAATATAATATGAAATATTGAAAATATACATGAAAGAATGTAACGTTGTATGAGAACTGACAATTCATGTTGAAAATAAAGCCAAACTAATAACTAACTATTAATGATAATGGCTAAATAATCTTGTTGAAATTTCAAATTTGAGCCATGAAATGTATTGAATACAGCATAGAGTAAACATGTAAGGGAATTACATACTTTCCAACTTATAATTTTGGTTTACATAATCTATGTAAAATATGTTTTATATATTTTTTTGTGATCTGCTGGGAATATATTGAACTTCATATGAATTTAGTAAGAGTTAAAAGTAGGAAAACATAGCTTGTGAAATATTTGATTTGAATGTCTCATTCGAAGTTCAGGTTAGCTGACAAGGTCACTAACAATACCAAATTAAAAGAATGTTCATTTTCCTTCCACCCAGAAGAAATGCTTATTAGGGTCTGGGAAAGCCATCTTCTACTAAAATGCACAAAACTGTTGCTGGCATTTTATATGTTTGAAAATGCTTTATCAGTTTTCTAGGACCATAACAACTGTTGGAGTCATTCTACTCATAGTGACTTGTCGTATGTTGTGATGGGTATGAAAAGACACGTTACTTTTGTCACTGAGCCAAGAAAGTATCTATAGAAAATTGTAGTGGCTCTGTGAAAGAAGATTAAGCAGTAGCAGGAGCTTTATGGACTCTTTGTTTCATTTCTTCTCTTTGGAAGAAAAACTTGAAGTAGAAGGAATAAGATGAAAGGAACAACCCAGCCAACTTTGAAGTTTAGATTATTGTTTATTTAGATCTAAAATAGACCTTCTGCATAGTTATAGTGAACACGTAATATTTTCTTTCCTTTCTGATGTAATTTACACTAAATTTTTGAAAGTTCACTTTATTTCAAAACCATCCAAATATACGAGATTTTCTTCTTGAAATATTTTAGGTTTCTCTCATATATTAATCAGATTTTGCCTCTCTCCCAAGATAATTTCAAGGAACTTACCATTAACAATATTAAAAAATAATATGATGCTACTCTATAAATAATGAAAACTCACAAAAGCATAGCTAAATAAAGAATATGGATACTGGCCCTTCATTTTCTGTAAAATAATTTTCTTCAAGGGGGAGGCAGGTAAAAGCTTAAGTGAATTTAGGGCTAAAGCAGGTAAAAGCAATGTGTAAATTGCAGTAGGAATGCCAACCGCTAAAACTGTGGAAAATGCATAATTTATTGCCATCTTAAGCATATACATCCATTCAAACATGTTACTTTTTAAACTAAAAATGTAGAAAATAACATCTAATTTATAACTTGCTCAACCTAACTTTTCTCTTTATTTTCCCTTCTAACTCCATTATATCAACCTGCAAAGAAGTATAGATTTCTGAATGTTTTTGAAACATTGAAGTGTCAACTTCATTGAATTCAGTCTTTTCAGCTACTAGCTTTAATTTGTTACCCCAAAGTCTGTTCAATCATGAACTGGAAAGGTCCTCAGAGTTGAACCACTCCATGGTTCCTACCATTTTCTCTAGAGCATTGGTGTTTAGAAGGTAAGCTCGGGACAGCCTCTCTCAATTCAGTACTCTTTCTGCAAACCTGTGGCTTTCTTCCCTGTTCAAATGCATCTGTCATAAGAAGCATGTTTTATACTGTAATTCTGTGCATTCTTAGCCCCTACAACTGCAACAAAGTTTTCATGAGTTATTAATATTCTCTTGTGTATAATATGTAATACTCTGATATTTTCAATTCTATCCATTATTGTTTATAAAGGCTGAATCTGTTCCACTTGGTTGGTTTCATGATCCATTAATAGTTACAACACGTAATATGGAAAACTTCATAGTAGACGACTTTATAAGCTGATGAGTAGTTTATTATTTTTTAAAGAACTGTTCTCAGTCATTTTAATGGTTGTAAAAGCCACTCAACATATTATTCTAAAATTTCTTTAAAATCCAGCTGAAATCTTGTTTGATCTTTTTAAATTTTCAGATCCACTTTTCATTAGTTTCACAATTGCATAACATAATGATCCCATTTCTTCATTTTCCCACCTTCAAACTGAAACTTGCCTTCTCTGTATTGTCCCCCCCTTTTCATAGTATTTTTTTTTCTGAAACTTTTAGACACTATCCATGGTAGTGTCTAAAACTTTGACAAATGAATGAAAAATAATACTATGCAGTACATATTTATTTTTTAGTCAATGCAACTAAACTTTACTTTTTAGGTAAAGTTCATTTTAAGATGCTAATTCTAGGCTCAATCATAGAATTCTCATTGCTGAACCCCGAGGGACATTGGAGTAGCAGGTGAGACCACATCATGCCAAGAAATTAAATATATCAAAACATAATTAGTATTCTGACATTTGGAATGCCACACTTTGGTAACTTTCTCTACCTGTGTTATGCGGATTGATGCACATATAGATGTATTTAGCATCTGACTAATGTTTCCAATTAGACACTAATAAATGTAATTTGCCTAAATATAACACCATAGAGTTCAAATAAATAATATCTCTCCTTTCTGAGATCCAAAAGGAAGAGAAAACAAGACTATGTACAGTGAAGTTTCTCTGACTATGCTTTTTCAGTAAATTGATTTTCCATATTCTAGACCAGGAGTAGGCAAACTGTAGCCCACAGTCTATTTTTGTCAATAAAGTTTCACTGGATACAGTCATGCTCCTTCATTACTGATAGTCTGTGTCTGTTTTTGGGATAGAATGACAGGTAAATAACTATGACAAAGACTGTAAGGGCCATGAAGTTTGGAATCATTTCACTCCAGCTCTTTATAGGAAGTTTATCATTGCCTGTACTGGACAATGACAGACTAGAAAGGTATATTTAGGTAATTGAAGCTTCTATAAAAATGTACAATATTATAATCCCTCATGCAATCCTATAATTTGTATTTCCATATATGTTATTGATTTTATATTTCTAAAACTCCACTTTTATAGGGAAGATTTGTATTATATCTGGCTAATAAAGAGTTCTATGTTTAAATACTTTAAAAGATTTGAATGATGATTGAAAGAGCTGAAACCAGGACTAGGCTCTTCAGATTCCCCATCCTGCACTCTGCTACCATTGGATACTAGGTGCTGTCACTCTCTAGTATGCTCATGAGGATAACTGCATTTGTTTCTACCACACATTATTTAATTGTCCAAGTTAATACTCAACTCTCACTAATATTGCTTCGTCAAACTTTATCATTTCTCGATAATGGCTAGTTGCCAGTATTTTGAGAGATCGTTTTCAAATCCTTAGCAAGGCCACAGACCATATTTTTATGTTTTAGTGTAATCACTCAATATTCAAATAGACACTTTGATTAATTAACCTAGTTCTTGAGATTTACAACCTCAATGTGTTTGCCTCTGTATTTGCCACAAAAACCTGGTTGGCATCAATTTACAATGCCATTTATTGAATGTATATAATTCTCCAGAATTTGGGGACCTCTGAAAATCTGACAGCTCTATCTTCATGTTCATATAATTTTAAATTGGAAGAAATGTCATGATCACAATTTGAGCATCCCAGGGAGCATTATAAATAGCTTTTGGCACTATCATTAAATTTACCTATGTCAATACTATAAAATAAACCCACTATGAACTAAAGAGATATCATTTACTTCTTTTCTTTTTTTTATTTACTTATTTTCTGTGTTCATGAGAGTAACTCTAGGAATAGGCTTGATGCTTAATATCACCCTGGAATAGACATTTTAAATGAGACCAGTGATGGCCTTATTTTATCATAGCTGCTTGGTTTCCTAGTCATTGGTTCTGTCCTCCCTTCTTCCCTCCCACTCATTTTTGGGGGTATTGAAACCATAACATTATTATGAAATGATTTTGAACTCACGGATCATTAGACTTCGGAATAAGAGTGCCAAGCTCCTTGATTCGGTAATTAATATTATACCTTCTTCTTCTTTCAACTATTACAGAAGAAATATTATTGCTTAGTCTCATTAAATTTCAGTTCAGTTTTCATCAGCTATAAAGTTTCTTAATGCTCTTTTAAAACAGTCCACAAAAATATTTCCATTTAGTTTAAAAAAAGAACTCAATAATAGAATAACAATTCAAAAGTATCTTTGTGTTAGTCAGCTTTACATTGCTGATAAAATACTTGAGAAAATCAAATTAAAGGAGAAAAGGTTTATTTTGGCTTAAGATTTTGGAGGTTTCAGTCCATAGTCAGCTGGCTTTATTGCTTTTCTGGCCCATGGAAGGGTAGAAACATCATAGCGAAGGGCATAGTGGAAGAAAGTAGTTCATCTCATGACAGGAAGGAAGAGAGAGAGAGAGAGAGAGAGAGAGAGAGAGAGAGAGAGAGAGAGAGAAACATGATAGAGTGACCCAGAGAGAAATAGGACTGGCGCAAGATATAGGCAATATAGTCCCTAAGGGCATGCTGCCATGACTCATTCCCTTCAGCTGGGCCCCATCTCCTAAATTTCCATCACTTCCCAAGAATTCTATCAAATTCTGAATTTATCCACAATAAAGTTAGACTCCTCATGATTGAAAAGCCACATCTCTGAAAATCTGAGTCTACTGAGGGACATTTTAGATCCAAACCACAACAATCTTACTATAAAAGCAAAAATTACATTAGAATTATAAATATATGATTTATAATACTTTAAAAATATTTTGCCTCAAAATAGTTTTAATTCAATTTCTACATTAACTCACATTGATACATATATATGCATATATACGTGTGTTTATTCTGTTTGTCATTTTACACATACACACTTTGTCAATCCATTAGGACTGCAGTCTTTTAAGATCATGCACCTTGCTTTATTCTTTCATCTACTCCCCTCAATGTTTAGTACATTACAAGTGTTTGTGCCCAATTATCTGTCCCCATCTTGAGAGAAGTTGGTACATCTCATTCATTTTTGTATTTGCAGAGAGTTTGGTCTACTTAGGAGGTGCTAAATAAATGTATGTTGATTAGAATATCAGCTCATTTTTCTAATTTAAAGTTTTCAATAATCTATAAATTAGCAGTTTTTAACCTTTGGCATGTATCAGAAGCACAGGGAAGGATCATTAAGTAGATCTGTATGCCACATCTAGAGATTCTGATTTTAGTATATCTGGAGTTATGTCTAAGAATAAGCATTTCTGACAAGCTCCCAGGTGATGCTGATTCTGTATGTGTAAAAGCCATGATTTGAGAAATACTGATAAAGACTTTCATGTAGAGACTGTTTTTGCTCATGCATTCATTACTACGGCAATTTTGTGTATGTAGTAAATAATCAACGAATGTCAGATATATGATGAGTTCTCTATATTGGCTCTATTCTATATTTGTAATATCAAGCACCATAATATATGGTATTTTTCAATAGTTGTATATTTAAAATATTCAAGGAGATAAAGGTATAAAAAGGTCACAAAAAAACATTTTAAATGGGTGATAAAATACTTGCATAGCGCAGAATTGAGAATTAAGGTCTGCTACTGAAGATCAGGAAAGTTATCAAAGAATGCAAATTGTCTTAATGAACCTATTCTACAAAGCAAATTATTATGAAAGGAGTTGACCTTCTGGAATAATACAGGGGGATCCCTCTAAAATTAGAATACAATTGATTTTGAGAGAATTTATTTTGTCTCTTCACTAATTTGTTTCCCTGTGCATTTAATTAAAAAAGCTAAATGATATCATATTAAAAATACTAAGAAATAAAGATAAATCTGATAGCATACATATGTATTTTACAGTGAGAATTTATTAATAATTCAATGTTCATATACATTATCTCATATTACAAACCAGACCTCCGAAATTTTAAAGAACAGCTATGAAGTTCACAGTTTTATTTCAAAGTGGGTGACTAATTTTAGTTCTCTAATGTTTCTTCAAAACTTATCATTTAAATTTACCTCATGTAAAATATCAGAAGCTCATTGTCCACTCAGACTATTACCTATTTTCAACTGGCTAATGTTAATTTTGCTTTGCTCCATGTTGTTTATATATCTAGCAATAGTTATTTGTGAAATAGTTATGCTTTAAGAAATGGCTAAGCTATTTTACACTTAGTGATTTCACTCTTTACAAAGTTTTTGACACATTCACTCAATCCTCTCCCTAGATCCAGGCAGAAAAGGCCACTACTCCCACCCACACTTAAAGAACACCTACTCCTCCCTTCTCTGGCCAGACCTCTTCCCTGTAAGCAAGGCAGCCACAGGGCCAGGGAAATTCCTTCCCCACTACACTCTGGGAATGTGCACAAGGAAGTTCTCTTCGAATCATGGGCCCACTTCCAGAGTCCGTGCAAACCTCATCTCAAGGTCTCCCCTCCTGGGGGAAAATCACTCACGGCACCAGTGTTCTCATCCATAGGTCAGGATGTGACCCAAGGGCAGCTATTTACAGGATTATGTATGGAGCATAAATGTACAGGGTGGGCTGTTCACACTCATGTTTGAGGCCATTTATAGTACAGAGTAGAATAGAGACTGAGGAGAGAAGTAGAATAGGCTGCAAGCTGAGGGCTGTTATTGCCCTTCCCTGACATTCCTGCCTCACTCTAGCAACCTGAGAATTTTAAATTCACTCCTGACCTTCTAATGCCTTTAGGAAGGATGGGCCATATTTAATTTAGCACTTTTTAGTTTGAGTTATACCTCTTACATGTTTAACCATGTGGTAAGTGGGACCTTCTCTGTACTTTGCATGCTCCCACCAGATTTGTGTTTTCAAGGATTGGTCTAAATTCATTATACTTAACACTTATGATATCTTTTCATGTTGATTTTTCCCCAAAAGGAAGATAATTTAACAAGAGAATCCAGGTTAGAAAACACTTCATTAAGGTACACATATCAGACACCTACAATATTCTACGGTAAATGACTTAACTGCTTAAGCTGCAAACAGAAAAAAGAATGGCAAAGACAGTAATAATTAACAGATTTACAAAGAAACAACTCCATACTTCCTCAAGGTACTAATTCCTTCTCCCAATCATTAGCTCTCCCCAGTCATATTCACCTTGTTCAAAGTCTGGAACAAGGTTTTCTGCTCTGCTATTCAGGTTTGTGGAAGTCAGGTCATTTCCCTGAGGCCTGTTGGAAACCTGTGTTTCGGCTCTTTCCTCACACTCACTCAGTCAACTAACACTCACCGCTCTGCAAGGTGCATTAGGTAAAGGTGTAGATTCACAGGTATATTCGGAATCAATTTCTGCTCATTGCATGTAAGGAAATTACTGATTATTCGGGGCTTTAACATTTTATTTATTTTTCTTTGTTTTACTCTTCCTTCAGTTTTTGATTTGGCACCCAGAACAAAGACCCTTCGTTCTCAATCAGTCAAGCTCTCTCAAGATAGTCACACACTTAACACATGACCAAGCACCCTAAAGCCCAGCCCTGCTGCTAATCTACTTCTTCACATTTCCCATCTCAAGTAACCTGTTATCAGAGTCAACCTGACCTGGAGGAAGGCCTGAAAAGCCATTTTTCCCCAGAGGTGGAATTCAGCATTACAACACTAGAAATGCCTTTCAGATAAGATATAATTAGGAAGGGAGGAGCAAATTGACACAGAAAAATGGGAGCCTGGACTTATGTTTCTGACTATTAAGATGGCATACTATTAAAATGGTTTCTAAAGTCACTTTATCTTTTTAAATCTTTGAATCAGTGAATCACAACACAGTTCAAATGTAGCCTAATGCACTCATCTCAGTCAAACACAGCCTCCTAGGGAATGAATGATCAAGGAGAGATGTTTCACTTTGGAAAATATACAATTTTTTTCTTTCACTGTTCACATGGGTTGCATTTCCCAAAAGGGCTTGTTTGCAAGCACTAGCAATTTTGATCATCCTTAACTACTTATGGAGTTATAATAAAAGCCTATATAATTCAATTTCTATGCATTCACTATTGTTTTAGTTCAGTTTGAAAAAACAGAAAAAATGTACTCACTGAGGTTGTGATTGTCCTTTTTTTGTCTCTCTTTTGCCAACGCTCTGGTGTCAGCTTCTGATCATAAGAAAAATAATTGAAACAGTGCTTTAGTTCTACTCTAAAAATTTTCTCAGGCAAAATGATTCAGAAATACTAGGTGAAAATACAAGATTGCTTGTTCCAAAGTGGTAAAATAATATTTTTGATGAAAATATTTGGAAACTTGAAACAGAGATCTCTTTAGTAAAAGGCAATGACAAAGCCTTTAGACTCTGGGGTAAGAAAAGCTGGATTTGTTTTCTGGCTATCCATGTAATAGCTGTGATCAATTACCAAATTTCTTTGTGTCTCAGAATTTTCATCTGTAAAATGAATGTAAAATACCTACCTGATTGTCACTGTGATGATTATAAAAGAGGTGTGACACACAGAACGTATTAAATTATTCAGTCATTGTCATTATTATTTTCAGACTTTTGAGATTCAGAAAGAAATTATTCTGGCCTAAAATCTTCATAAATAATTATGACTTCTACATCCCATGAGTTGGAACTAACTACCTTTCATAGATATTCCTATCAAATCATTCCACACACTCTCTTCCACTTACTGACACTGCCCTCATGCTAAGTGGTTGAATTTGTGCTCATCCACCATCAGGATGGCCCCCAACTCTCATTTCTTGGTGTTCATACCCTTGGTAGTTCTCTCCAGCAATGAAGGAGGCTGACCTATGAAATGAACAGTGTTGTGGAAATGTCTGCTGTGGCTTCCAAGGTTAGGTTATAGTAAACATTTGCAGCTTCCACTTTGGTACCTCTTGGTTCACCATTTTTCATGTCTTGAGGATTCATAAATAACACTATGGAGAGGTCCTCACAATAAAGTATCAATATTGCTCATCAACAAGCGGCACTAATTTGCAAGGGCTGTGAAGGAACCTTCTTGGGAATGTGTCCTCCAGCCTCTACCCGTGAAGTGTCAGACTGTGTACATTTGCCTGACATCTGGACCAGTGCCCTATAAGAAACTCAGAGTCAGAACAAATTTTCTTGGCTCCCTTTGGTTTCCTGACAGATACTGGAAGAGGGTATAGATGTTTCCTTCAAGCTGATAAATTTTAGCATTAATTTGTGATTATATTAAAAAGGTAATTGTTACAATGTTCTTAGAATTTAGTTTTAAAAATAGGTAATAAAGCAATACATCGTATTTATTTAAAACACATTAGTTTTAATCCAAATACTATACTTTTAACACATACTTTTCTTTTTTTTTTGGTACCTGAGATTGAACTTGGGTCCTTGCACTTGTGCAGCAGGCAGCTAAACCATTGAGCTAAATCCCCGGCCCAACGCATACATATTTTTTAGTTATCAAGCTCCGTTAATGGCATGCATTGTATTTACCTAAACTATTACTTTAAAACGATGTAGTTTTTCAGCTATGATCCAAAAGCTCATTATTAAACTTTCAAATGAATTTTATTTTATTCTTATGAAAGATCTAACACTGGATTGGTAAATCAGGAAATCATTAATACATTTTTGACTCTGATCAGCTGTGTGACTTTGGCAAAATAATTCCTCAGGCCATTGAAGAATCTGACAAAACTTCTATGATTCCTTTGATTTGTAACAATTTTGAAATGAATTGTTGAAAATTGAGTTTATTTTTCTCAATTGAGAAGGTTTAATCCAAGTCCATCATGAAATCAATAGAAAAACTTAAAAGGGAAAAATTTAAACTTTTTTATATCTAATTCTACAAAGAATAATTTTTCTAATTAATTATAATTCTGCAAATGTATAAATATCAATTTGATAGAAAAATGACCTTATGCTAAGTGAAGCTATATTTACGTATCTCTGTGAAAACTACATATGTATTTCTTAAAACAATGAATCAATTCAGTCAAACTGCAAGTTATACTAATCCACTGTCTAGTTGTCATAAAAACATGATGGATTTATTTTCTGAAACTCTCCCTTCATTTGATAATATTCTTTTAAAATATGCTACTTAGCACAATACCTATCACTCATATCTTAGGTAGCTGATAAAAATTTTAAAAGGTAAAACTATAAAAGTAAGATTACCTGTAATTTTATTTTTCATTGGTAGACTAACTGGACAGGAACCACTTGTAAGCCCCATATTAATTGGTGAAATTCCCTGTTCATCACTATATACATCCAAAATACTTCCTGATAACTTGAGAGGAAAAGGAAGAAAAGATCAATTAAACTTTCTGTGCACATGAGTATCTTTATTTGTATACATTAAATTCTCCTTTTTAAATTTATCATTTTGTCAGTAATAATAATGATAATATATAGCATTTTAATTTTAAACAAGAGATGAGTATGAATTGACTATTTTTAATTACATTACGGAATGATTGTGAATAAGTTATTCTGAGAAAAGCATTTATATTTAAACAAAAAGATAAATCAGTTCATGCATGAAGGAAAATTCTGATTAATGTTTACAAAATTATAGAAGTTTGAACTAGCATATGACATGGTTATAAATGAATACAATTAAAAATATTCTTTCAGACAAAATCAATGCACATCTTAGCAAAGCTGGAGAAGTTCCTTGCATACCACAAATTAGGTATAATTGGGAGCCTTTTTACACTATCAGTGCTACCAGCAACTCACAGTCAGGAAGCATTTTACACTATTGAGAAACTCCTTCCTGGAAAGCATACTTTTTCTGCATTGCACATTTACTATTCTAGATTATTATAAATATTTCAGCTGGAAACCAAAAGTGCTCTACATCCAATTGTAGCAACACTGCAATTCTTCAAGTGCTTCTTAGGAATAACTTTTCAGAAAAGCTAAGGTATTTTATACACAATATTCATATTTCAAATGAATATCCATCATGTTACAACAAGCTGCATTTAAAATGTAGGATTTGAAATTTTAAAATATTTCCATTCTACATATCTTTAATCCATTTCTGGGCAGTTACCCAAAAGCTGAATAAGAAGTAATTGTTTTTCTCTCCTCAAAGACTGGAAACAATACATATAATCAAATGTAACTGTAACAAGATCATTAAGGAGAAACTAACTCCACATTCCCATTTTTTGTAAAACTCCAATTTAAAGTGAGAATTTTTTGATACTTTTAAAATTAGACTGGAAATAAATATGAAGAAAAAACATATTAAGACCAAAATCAGTATCTGGGGTAATAAACCATTACAGTATATGCAATAAATGTTTTATATTTCTAAGGGAAAAAATTAAAATATAACTAAAATCACCTAGTAAATAATTATATATACATATAAATAGATGCATTTTATTTGGCATATGATTCAGAGATACATATTTCACATATTGTTTCCTTACCATTAACTTTATTAGAACTCCTCACAGTTATTTTATACAAAGTCATTATTTTTAAAATATGTTTTTATTTTATGGATCTTAGATGAGAGTTATATAAGTCAAATAATGATTCCATTTCAATTTTTTCATTTGCAAAATGGGGACAAAGTTGATCAATTTGGTGAGATGATATGTATGAGTAGCAGGTTAAAAAAAAAACAGGAGGAAACCAGAAGACAGATAGATGTGAGTCATTTAACCATATATTTAAAAGTACAAATTTTCCAAGATCATTTTTGAAAAAGCCTGTTGGTTATGAGCTGAGGCATCACCAACCTGAATTGTACATTTCCACTGTGCCTTTGAGAAACATAATGGATGCACTGAACAAAAGACAGGGAGTGAAGGGGAAGGAACTAGAAAAAGGGAATTTCTCCTCTGAAGGGCTGAATTCAGATGGATTTCATTGCAGAAGTGGCAAACTTCAGAAATGTTAAAGGAAAAAGAGCTATAGTACATACATACTGTAACAATAAAGTGATAGGTTCCTAACTGGAGCACTTCTTTGGGTCCACGTTACCTGATCAGACAGAATTCCTTATAAATGCATTATTCCTTATAAATGGGGCAGATATTCTGACAATGAATCTGATCCTGCTTAACAATAGCTATATTACATCTTTTTCTGACCTTAGTTGTTGTCCAACTTATGCCCTGAAGCACAATGGTTAATATCCTATTTAATTTTATGCCATAGATACTAGTCTATTTCATATAAATGGCTAATCACATTTTAAATATCATTAAACTATTAGGTTTCAATTTCAAAGCATGTAATATATTTCATGTAATCTAATGTGCCTTTTCTCCATTAAAACATGTAAAAGTACAATGTTGGTGAAAATTTAACAATTCTGTATACATATGAAAGAGCTTAGAATGCAAATTAAATGTACCTGTATTAGAGGGGTAACTAACTTAGGTAATAAAGCATAAGTTTTAACTTTATTCTGTAGATTATTAAGCAACAGGATAGGTAGTTTTTGAAGAAAGATTTACTCTAATTAAAAAGCAGATTGCTTTCTCAGTAGGACAAAACCTTTGACATGACAATAGATGAACACATTACCATTAACAAGAAATGAATTTTAAAGATATAAAGTAAAGAATTTATCATAAAATCCTTTCAACAAATATAACATATATCTCTAAAACTATATTTTCTGTGATGGAAAAAGTGAACTCCTAGTCTGAGAAGTTGCTTTGAGATGAGAAATGATTGGCAACGGCATATAGATTTTATTCGCATTTCCACCACTGAAGTGATAAGGACTAAATGAGTTGCTTCCCACCTTTCCACATATATTCTTCCATTCAGGGTAGCCAATACTTCCTGAAGAAAATGAGCTCACATGGGCAAAACATCTGAGGTAAGTGACTATTTCAAAAGTAAAACATTGTGCAACATCAGAAATAATAACAAAAGCAAAAGAAGTCAAGTTTGTTAAGTTAGCCTAAAAAGGGAAGGTATTTGTAATAATTTTAATGATAATTAATAAGTAAATATAACAATGACCAAAGTGATCAACAATGACAAGAAGAAATAGGAGATGTGAAAAATAAAATACATGGGAAAAACTGTAGAACAAAACAATAGCATAATGAATATACAGATAAAGGAGTAAAAAAAAAAAAATCAAAAAATAGGACATGCACAAGGTCCTGAGTTCAATCCCTGGTACAAAAAATAAATAAATAAAAGAAAGAAAAAGAAAGAGAGAAAGAAAGAAAGAAAGAAAGGCAGATGAAAGAAAACAATATGAAGGATAAATTTGATGATAGAACTAAAATACAGATTAGTCTTAGAAAATAAAATTAGAAGGCAGAAAATATTGCTTTAAAATAATGAAGTTAAATTTCCAAGAATTAACACTAAACAAATGACTAGAGTGACTTCTTTATTTTATCTTATGTTATTGGTTTTTTGTTGGTGGTGTTGTTGTTTGTTTTTTGTGGGGTTTTTTGGTACCAGAGATCCTAGTCATGACCTTGCACTTGTGAGGCAGGCTAAATCCCTCACCCTATTGTTACTTTATTTTGATTTAAAAGTCAGTGACTATAATGCAAAAGAAGAGAGACAGGAACAATTGGCACTCAGACATATTACACTGAAATTTAGGAATATACAATAACAGAGAGAAAAAGCTTAAAGCCTAAATGGAGAGGGAAAGGTTATATAAAAGGACACAAGAATCAAGCTGGGAATGGTGGTGCTATCCTACAATCCTAACACTTGGGAAGCTGTAGCAGGAGGATCCTCATGAGTTACAGACCAGTCTGGGCTACATAGTAAGTTCAAGACCAGCGTCAACTATATAGTGAGACCCTGTCTCAAAAAAAGGGAACAAGAATCAGATTAATATAGATTTTTCAATAGCACAATTAAAAATAAAAGGAAAAGTCTATAAAAGTTAAGAAAACAGTGCACTATTTAACAGCAACAAAATGAATAAAACACTTAGGAATGAACTTAACACAGGAGGCAAGGTCTTGTACACTAAAAATTAAAAAGTACAGCTAAAAGATTGGATTGGATTGGACTTTTGCAGTACTGGGGCATGACTCCAGGGCCTTCACACTATTCCCAGACCCCAGCCACTTATTTTTATTAGTACATGTTTGCAATTCATGCACTTTACAATCATCTTGGGAGTGATTACATATATATATTACAGCTTTTCTTTTTCTTCCCCTTTCCGCCCCTCTCCCCTCCCACACAGGTTCCCCTGTCCCTTTGTTCATATTTGTCAATATTATTTGTTTTAGCTCATATTACACCATATAATGTTTACATTAATTGGAGTTATTAGGTTCCTGTACATGCCATATCTTTATTCTTATTTCCCTTTCCCCTTTTTCCTCACCCCTTGTCCTAGTCCTTTGGATTGCTTCCCTATTGCAAGAGATCCATCCGTCCCCTTGTCCCTTTCTCTCAATCCTATATCATTTTCTTTGTTTATACTTTGGTTCACTTAGATGAGAGATACCATACTATATTTAGCTTGCGTGTCTGCTATATTTCACTCAACATTATATTTTCTAGGTGCATTCATTTCCCTAAAAATGTCTCAAATTTGTCCTTCTTTAGAGTTGAGTAGTATTCAATTATATAGATACCACATTTTATTTATCCAATTGTTTATTGATATATACAGGCTGCTTCCAGGATTTAGCAATTAGCAATAATGCTGCTATAGACACTGGTATGCAAGTGTCACTGTAATATGATGACAAGATCTTTGGGGAAGATACTTGGCAGGGGAATAGCTGGGTCATATGGAATTTCTAATTTCAGTTCTTTGAGAAATCTCCATGATGATTTCCATAATGGTTGTTCTAGTTTACATTTCTGCCAACAATGAAGAAGGGTTCCTTTTTCACCACAGCCACACCATCATTTGTTATTGTTTGATTTCCTAATGATTGCCATTCTTTCTGGTGTAAGATGGAATCTCAGGATTGTTTTAATTTGCATTTCTCTATTGGCCAGAGATGCTGAAGTAATAAACAATCTCAGCAAACTAGCAGGATACAAGATCAACACACAAAAATCACTAGCATTTGTGTACACCAAAAAAGAACAAAATGAGGATATTACAAAAACAAAACCATTCACAGTAGCTTCAATAAAACTGAAATATCTAGGAATTAATCTAACCAAGGAAGTGAAAGGTCTCTACAAAGAAAACTACAGTACCCTGAAGCATATTGAAGAGGACATCAGAAAACAGAAAAATGTTCCCTGCTCTTGGATAGGCAGAACCAATATTGTCAAAATAGCCATTCACCTGAAACAGTAATACAGATTCAATGAAGTCCCAATCAAAAGCCAATAGTGTACTTTACAGATCTAGTGAGAACAATTCTAAAATTCATATGGAACCAGGAGAGACTCAGAAAAGCAAAAGTAATGCTAGGCAATAACAGAAAAGCAGGTGGCATAACAATACCTGACTTCAAGCTATACTGCAAAGCAATAGTGATAAAAATTGCATGGTACTGGAACAAGAACAGACACATGGATCAATGCAACAGAATACAGGGTACAGAAACCTCATCAGATACATTCAGCTATCTGAGCTTCGAAAAAGAGATCAAAAGCATGCATTGGAGGAAAGATGGCCTATTCAACAAGCAGTGTTGGGAAAACTGATTATCTGTGTCTCAGCAACTTAAAAATTTTTTTTTTTATTATTTTGAGGCAGTATCTTGCTCAATTTCCCAGGCTGGACTCAAATTTGGAATCCATCTGCCTCAGCCTCCAACAGTGTTAGGATTACAGGTCTGTGACATTTCCCCCAGCTCAGCTGAAAAAAAATTAAAGAAGACATAAATAAATGGAAAGATACTGAATTTTAATTGAAGAAAAGACTTGATATTATTAAAATGACAGTAATACCAAAGCAATTCAATGATTCAAGTAATCGCTATCAAACCCAAGTTGCAGTTTTTGAAGAAATAGAAAATTGCATATTAAAATTTACATACAATCCAAAGACCCCTTAAAAATCAAATAATCTTGAACAAAGTTGAAGGGCTTACATTTCTGGATTTCAGAATTTATTACAATGCTATAGTAATCTAAACAGTGTGATTCTGATATAAAGACAGATACACAGACCTATGAAGAATAAGAGCAAGAACAAAAATACACCTCCTAATATATGGTCAAATAATTTTTGACAAATGTTCCAACCATTCCATGGGGAAAGGGTACCCTTTTCAGCAAATAGTTCTAGTTACACTGGATATTCAAAAGAAAAAGAATGAAGTTGGGTTCTTATCTTACACTACAAAAACTATTTCAACATACACTGAAGAACTAAATGAGAAATTATAAAACTCTTAGAAAAAATCATAGAATAAAGGTTTCAATACATAGGACTTTGGCCAAGATTTTGTAGATATGATACCAAAATCACAGGACAAAAAGAATAGATGACTTCAACAAAATCTAAACCTTCTGTGCAACAAAAGACACTATCAAGTTTGTGAAAAAATGAACCACACAAAAGAAGCTATGCATATATGTAAGAGATTAATATCTAGTCTTTCTCTCTCTGTCTTTCTCTCTGTGTGTATTTTATATATGTGTGTGTGTGGACGTATATATACAACTCAATAGTAACAACAAAGAACTAACAACTCAATTTTTAAAAGGAGCGGAGGTCTTCAATAAACATTTCTCCTAAGAAAATATACAAATGAACATGACCAGTAAAGCATACAAAGAGATGTCCAACAATACTCATCATTAAGGATAATATGATACTTCTTCACACACATTAAACTGATTATCAAAAGAAAAAAGATAATAGCAGCTGTTAGGAGATCTGGAGATATTAGATCACTGAGGTATTGCTGGTAGGAATTCAAAATGGTTGAACCATTGTGGAAAACAATATGATGCTTCCTCAAAAGTTAAATACAGAATTACTGTATGATCCAGTAATTTCACTTCTCAATTAGTAGGTATGTACTTTAATTAAAATAAGGACTGGATCAGATAATCGTGGATCAGTGTTCATATTTACAATGCCTAAAAGGTGGAAATAACCCAAATGTCCATTAACTAAATATATATATATATATATTTAAATATGTATGTATACATATGTATACATATGTATAATATATATAGATTGGAATATTAATCACCCTTAAAAATTAATGTAATCTTGCTCGACATAGATAAATCTTGAAAAAATTATGATAGG